AGCGCCTAACAGCATACCCTAGGAGCTCTCTGCTGGTCAATTTGTAGATGAAGAGGTCCAACTCAGCCAGGATATGGTCAAAGAATTTCCCTTTCTTTGGCAGTGTGTATAGACAGGTAAGGAGGTGATCAGAAGTTGTAGTGATTCACAGGAGGCACCACAAGCATGGTTGCTCTCCGTAACGTAAATACACTTACAGATTTCAAATGTTGTAAACATTTTTTTCCAAATATTAAAAAAAATCCTAATAATCTTGAGTTTAATATAGACATATTTTATTATATGCATGCATCATCATTTACACATTTTTTATTATTGTATGTTTTCCCTGCAAGTTTATGATCTTTTTCTTCTGAAATGTACCTAGAGTTAAATTAGGAAGACAGAATATCTGAGTATGCTAAAATGTCTTAATATATTTTAAGTTGCTTTTCAGAATGTTTTTCTCACTCCACATTGGTGATGCACAGATTTTTGCATCACTTAGTAAAAAATTTTATTCTGTTAATTTAATGAACAAGTTTAAGTACTACTGTTTTATTTTATAATTCCTTTAATTCTTATGGAGTTTTTATTATTTTGTGAATTATCCTCACATGCTATACCCTATTTAAAACTTAGTATTGTTTTCATTAGTCTGTTTTACTTTTGCTATGTTAAGATGAGAAAACCCTTTCTGTAATTATTTGCTTGATTCTGAGAAAAAAATTATGAAGAATAATATTCACTTTTGTTATGTGCAAAACAATATTTATTTCACAGAACCTACATAGCATGGTAGGAGCTCTGGTAGCATAGTGGCTAAAGCACTTGACTGCTAACCACAAGGCTGGCAGTTCAAACCCACCAGCCACTCCTTGGAAGGCAGGTTGGGCAATCCTACTTCCGTATGATACTGCCTCGGAAACCCAAGGAGGGGTCACTGTGAGTCGGGGTCCGACTCGACGGCACATAACAACAACAACAACAACAGAAAGAATAAATGCCACTGTATGAAAATCCATTCATGACTATAAAAAATGCTCAGAAATCATGCCCATGAAAAAATATTCATAAGAAATTAATGCCACACTAGTTGCAAGAGACTAAAGATAGATTGGGAGCATGATTCTTAGAAGCTTCAATCCCTAGGTAGAAAAAATAATCACTAGCCTACGGTTAGCCATGGTCCCACTGGGACAAAATCACCCCTCAATGACAAATACATTTTCATCCCCACCTCCTCTTAAATAAAGTGTGTAAAGAACAAGTGAGGCATAGCGCAAGCAGTATGAGAAGAGCACATTTCTAATGTCATGCCACCTCAGGTTATTTCAGTGGAATTTCTGAAATAGAAAGAGGAGACAAATTCTACTTTTTGTCTAAATCTCAAAAGAGATTTGATTTCTCTTAGTTGGTCTGGATGGCAACCCAGCAATGACTCATGTAAGTTTAAATACTTCTGTCACTTCAAATAGCTCTTTGTGAACAAACTATTTCAACATAGTCTTCAATTTATTCTAATTCTGTCACTGAGATTGAATTTGTCTCACCATGATTGAACTCTCTCTTACCTTGAGATGACTTAATTCTTTATAAGACCTTAAAACTCATGCCCACAAAGTGCATCTTCCTCTTCTGCAGACTCAGTCACTGTGGTCTCTGAATTTATTTTCTGGTCATATGACACAAAATACGGCTTTCTGTAAATATCGTTGTATTAGTTTGAGTTACTTATTTACACCTTTATGTACATGTATGTCTTTAGGTGTTGACATCTATGAACATAATTAAGCAAACATGCCATGTTAGTATGTTTAGAATACAATTTACACAATGGATATTCTAGCTTTGTCATTATTTTTGTCATATGATGATGTCAATTGTTTAACTTCACTTAGATTCTATAAAAGAAGAATACAACTATACTTGGAACATTACTTTGAGCATTCTAGAATTATATATATATGTATACACAGACACACACACATATAAATTTTTATTACACATATATATTATCTTAAAGTATATATTTATTTATATATATGTATGTATGCATGCATAGAGACATACAATTGTAGAATTTCTAGCACACCATGAGTACAGAAAAAATAGTGGCTATTAATATCTCATCCAGAAATTCTAGAAATACATGCTGTTGTTTGCCATCGAGTCAGACCCAACTCATAGCAACCCCTCCTTGGGTTTCTGAGGCAGTATTACTATGGGAGTAGATTGCCCAATCTTCTTTCTGAGGAGTGGCTGGTGGGTTTGAACCTCCAGCCTTCTGGTTAGCAGTCAAGTGCATTAGGCACTATGCTACAATAGCTTCTAGGTTTTTGTAGGCACTGTCCTTTGAGCATGAATACACACACACACACACACACCCCAACAGTATATCATTTCTAAGTAATTGCATGCACCAAAGCAAAGATTAGCGAATTAAAAAAAAAAAAAAAAAGGAACTTCTTTCTTTTTTTTTTTTTTTCCTATGTTCTCATGGCTTTTTTTTTTTGGTTATTCTAATAAAAAAATTCTTATAGATACTTTACCAATATTTCCAGTTCACTGTACCACTCTTATAGTTAATTAGAGATATTATTTCAGGCTCCATACTTTCAAAGGTCCCATGTTTTTCTGTGCACAGGTTATGTTATTTGTACCTCAGCTAGTTACTAAATGAAATACACATAATTCAGTACTCAGACAGAGATGATACATATAAACTCAATCTAACCCCTTTACCTTTATCAGGATAAGTGTGAGAGTCCATCTTCTCTTTTGCACATGGCTTCCTGCTTGCCTCTTTTTAAGATTATTTTTTTTCCTTTAAGAATTTATATTTATTTTTTGTTCCTTTTACTTCGATGGTGATTTTGGAACAACAGGACACACCCCTATGATTTTCCATAAAATTCCTATTAATTTGAGAAGATGCAGTGTAAGAAATTACTAAAAATTAGTCAATGAAAGAGATTTGGATTAAGATTTGTTTTCTATTTCCTCTTTATGTACCCTCAGCATGTATGTCTCACTTAAAAACTCACTGCTGTCAATTCGATTAGATTCATAGTGACCCCTCCTTAGGTTACTGAGGCAGTGTCTCTAGGGAAGTAGATTGTGCAATCTTCCTTCCAAGGAGTAGCTGATGGGTTTGAACTGCTAGCCTTCTGGTTAGCAGTCAAATGTCTTAGGCACTATGGAACCAGAGCTCCGATGTCTACTTTATGACTTACATTATCGAGTGATCCAGAAATTCTATTCATTTAAAACTTCTCTTATTTCTTATTATATATGAAAAGCCACCCAAATTCATGTAATACGATATTTTTTGTGTATTCAAATCTGTCCATTTGAAATGATTCATAAGTAAACAGTTCTAAGTTATATTGCCTTCTGATTTTCAGCATTTGTTTCTATTTGTACACTATTTCTCAGCTATGAAATGGGAAGAGTATGCTGATGAATGAATGTTAAGACAAATGAATCACAGGTGAGATTAAATGGAAATAGATACCCCTAAAGTACATTCGTCTGTGGATCAGGATTCTGTTGTGCTGCCTATAACTCTCCATGAGTGAACAATCCACCATTCAGCCTGGAGATCTTGGATTCATCACTCGTTGGAGTCAACAGCCAGTGTACTGCCTGCCAGCCTTGAGCTCCTCAGTCCCTGTGGCAGCAAGAGTCGGGAACAGCCTCTAGCTTGACATTTGATCCAGGAACTTTGGACTTGTCAGCGTCTATAAATGTATGAGCCATTTTCCTAAGATAAATTTCTATATATATATATATATATATAATATATATATATATATATATATAAGCTTTATTGGTTTTGTTTCTCTAGAGAATCCAGTCTAACACAATTTGGTACCGGGAGTGGTTCTAGAGAGACAAAATCATAAGGATGGGCTTCCTAAATTGGTTCTCCAGTTTGATTAATCTTAAACACACTAGTGACCCTGCATCTGTTAGGAAAGAGGGCCCTGATAATTCCTGGCATGAGGTGGCAACATGAATATGCAAAATAGTGCTCTGGTAGCATAGTGCATAAGGCACTTGACTGCTAACCAGAAGGCTGGCGGTTCAAACCCACCAGCCACGCCTCAGAAGGAAGATGGGGTAATGTACTTCCGTAGTGATACTACCTCAGCAATCCAAGGAGGGGTCGCTAAGAGTCAGGTCCGACTCGACGGCACATAACAACAACAACAAAGTGCATGCAATAGCTTATTCTATTAAATAGGATTGTGTCCACACAAATAAGCTTTGTATAGAAATATTTTCATCATAGATGGAAAAAGTCATGGTAGCTAGTTTATATTAACTTAGATACTGTGGGCAGGCACTATTTAAACTCTTAATTCTTAAAACAATCCTATGAGGCTTATATCATTATATCCCAATTTACAGATGCAAAAACTGAGGCACAGAGAGCTTAATGAATTTGCCTAAAGTCACCACACTAGGAATTAGATAATATTTGAAAGCTTAAAATCCATTTGGCTCTAGAACTTTACTGTCCTGTTTATTAGATTTAGAGAGCTGGAAGTGAGGTATGAAAATTGTATTTTTAGAATATACATTTCCTGCTGCAGCAGATGAAATTCATGTTATACATATTCCCTTCAAACATTATGATTGCAGGCAATACGCACTTGCATGTTTATGAGGATCTGAAGGAGCCCAGAGGAGCTATGGTAAAGCACTTGTTTGCTAACTGGAAGATCAGTGGTTGGAACCCAACAGTGACTCCACAAGAGAAAAGACCTGACAATCTGCTTCTGTAAAGACTGTAGCCTGGTAAACACTATGGGGTGTTCTACTATGTCCTGTAGTATCTGTTCTGTCTGAATACAATCCATGGCGAAAAACAACAGCAATACGAAGATATAAATATGTAAGTAGATGGAGTGAGATTTGATGCCAGGCTTGGCTTTGCTTGCTTACTCCCACAATCTTATGATGTTAAATTCATTTCCATTTCACTTTCTAGGAAATTGTCTGAACTGATTTAGGAAATCTGAAATCATGGAACAAGGAAATAAGAGTGACTGAATTTGTGTTGCATAGTCTTTCAGGTCCTCGACAGCTACAACTTTTCTATTTTGCATTTTTCACACTTTTCTATTTATCCACTTTGCTGGGGAACTTCCTCATTGCATTCCCAGTTCTTTCTGAACCTGCTCTCCACACCCCAATGTATTTTCTGCTCAGCAACCTCTCCTTCATTGATGCATGTCTATCCACTTTTGCCACTCCCAAAATGATTGTTGACTTCCTCATGGAGCGCAACACCATCTCCTTTGAAGGCTACATTGCCCAGATATTATTTCTTCATTTATTTGTTGGGGGTGAAATGATACTCCTCGTTTCCATAGAATATGACAGGTATGTAGCCATATGTCGACCTCTGCATTACACAGCCATCATGAGTATATGCAAGTGCACAGGCTTCGTGGTGGGCTCCTGGTTTTTTGGAATCTTGCACTCAGTGAGTCAGTTGGTCTTCATAGTAAATCTTCCATTCTGTGGTCCGAATAATGTAGACAGCTTTTTCTGTGACCTTCCCTTGGTTATTAAACTGGCCTGTGCTGATACCTATATCCTTGAGATACTGATTCGTTTAAACAGTGATATACTGGGTCTATGTTGCTTGGTGCTATTGTTCATGTCCTACACAGTCATCCTGGTCACCATGCGACGTCGATCATCATCAGGCATGGCCAAGGCCCGGGCCACCCTGACTGCCCATATCACTGTGGTGATCCTCCTCTTTGGGACCAGTGTCTTCATCTATGCCTGGCCTTTCCACAACTTTACAGGAGATAAGATACTCTCAATATTCTATACTGATTTTACTCCTCTCTTAAACCCCTTGATCTACACTCTAAGAAATAAGGAGGTTATATCAGCAATGCAGAAACTGAGGAGGCTAAAGATAAGTTCCTAACATTTCCTTGGCTTTCCCTTGTCATAATAACAACTATAATAAAGGCCAACACTTACATCCTTTGCTACTCAAAATATTTAGATTTAATTAAGAAATTAAATAGATTGAGACAATTTCTTGCATATATAAGATAATATATATAAGATGGATTGACAGGGTGGCTGCAGTGATGGGCTCAGGTATAGTAGGGATTGTGAGTCTGGCACAGGATGGGGCAGTGTTTCCTTTTGTTGTACATAAGGTCGCTATGAGTCAGAGATGACTAGTTGGGCCATAACAACAAACAACCACAATAAGATTGATATTTCTGGCAATGTGAACTCTCACTACAAACTATACAAACTTAACTACTAAGTAGTATTAGATTTGGTGAACCTATTTACTGAATTCAGAAACCAAATAGACTCATGTATTTATCCAAGTAAATGTATCATACTTAGTTCTGCCATAAACAATAAAACCTGAGCCCACAATGTTTGTTTGTCTCAGTGTATTAAATTGAAGCTCAGAATTTCCATTCAGAGTTAGTGGTTGATTGACTACAAACAAAAATGGTGCAAAGAAGTACAGACAATAAAGGCAAACAAACAAACAAAAAAGATATATCTTGATTGATATATATATATATATATATATATATTTGTTTATTTCAACAGCACTGCTAATATATGCCTTTGTTCTACACATTCTTTAACTGATCTCCAGGTCCTGCCATCTAATCTATACTACCCGTGATAGTTAAAGTATGTGTCAACTTGGCTGGACCATGATTCTTAGTGGTATAGCAGGTATAATGTAGTCATACCCCATGATGCGATCTGATGTATTATAATCATCTCCAAGATGAAACCTGCTATGAGATTTCATTAGTGGAATGGGAGTTTTCTTACTGTGTGTCCTATTTCCAAAATATATGAGTGTTCTGGAAAATTGCTGTTTTTTCTTATGTGGACTCTGCATCTACTTCTTCATCATTTGACTTGTAGTTCTTTAAACTTGAGCCAATGGCCTGCCCTATTGCCTACTGATCTTGGGATTCATTAGCCTACCCAGCCTGTGAGCCAGGAGCCTGCCTTGTTACCAGCCAACCTTGAATTCATCAGCCTCCACAGCTTGTGAGCCACCAGTTTGCCATCTGACCTGCCACTCTTGAGTTCATCAGCCTCTGTAGGTACATGAGACAGGAGAGACCTCCAGCCAGATATCTGACCCACGACCTTGGAACTTACAAGTTTTACAACTTCATGAGCCATATATTTGAGATAAATCTCTTTCTATCATCTATCAATCAATCAACCTATCATGTATCAATCTATCTATTTATCTATCAAGTTTCACTGGTTTTGCTTCTCTAGAGAACCTAGCTTAAAACCTCAAACAATGAAACACAAGTGAAAATACCTATTTTTCAAAGCCCTCAAAAAGTATAAGATCATTGTTTTGACTTTGTATAATAAGTCGGCACTTTAATTGTCCTTTTTGAATTATTGTTATTGTTGTTGTTATATGCCGTCAAGTCGGACCCGACTCATAGCGACCCCTCCTTGGGTTTCCGAGGCAGTATCACTATGGAAGTAGATTGCCCCACCTTCCTTTCGAGGAGTGGCTGGTGTGTTTGAACCGCCAGCCTTCTGGTTAGCAGTCAAGTGCCTTAGGCACTACGCTACCAGAGCTCCTATTTGAATTATTAGTATATATGAAATAATATAGAACATTTTTCTTTGTTTTTATAGCATTTATTCTTATAATCAAAAACAAACCCCATTAGAAAAGAGGAAAAGAGATTCCCTATCTTTTGTTTATAAAATAATTCTTATTTTACTTGCACTAAAATTACTCTTCAAAATAGTTTTTTTTTTTCTTCAATCAAATTAGTATTTCTATCAGATTCATGCTTCTATGATTCCAGTTGATAATATGAATATATATAAAATATTAAAGTTATATACTTAACTAATATTTTTAAAGCTTCAGAATAGTGTTTAATTTACAAGTATTTTTTTAAAGTAGTCATCATTTTCACTGACATCTCATTATAATTTGAGACAATTATTTTCATTTTTGACTTCTAGTGTTTGAAAGAGAAAGACATGCTCCAAAGTGAAGGTTTGCTTTTCAAATGATGTGGGGGAAATCATGGTGACCAATAGGATATAATATCGATTATACTTTAAATAAAGTTCAACTCACTTCTCTCCTTTATTACTTCATGGTTCTGCAACTTCTTGTTGACTCTTTCTGAAATACAATATTTAAAATAAAAACAGTATAGCAGAGTATCATATGTTGATTATGATAATGAAGTGAAACTCATATTTAATGATAACTATGGTGGTGTAGTCCCCAAGGCATTTGACTGCTAACCAGAAGGCTGGCAGTTCAAAGCCACCAGCCACTCCTCAGAAGGAAGGTTGGGCAATCCACTTCTGCAGTGATATAGCCTCAGAAACCCCAGAAGGGGTCGCTGTGAGTTGGATCTGACTTGAACGCAGTGAGTTTGGTTTTGTTTGTTTATATATTTTACAAGATCTCTGGTGATGCAGTGGGTAAGGCTGCTAACCAGAAGGTTGGTGATTCAAACTCACCAGCTGATCTGTGAGAGGTAGATGATGTAATCTAGTTATATAAAGATTTACAGTCTTGGAAACCCTGTGTGGGTAACTGTGAGTCAGAATTGAGTCAATGGCAGTGGGTTAGGGTTTGAGTTTTTATACAGCTTACAAATTATATCTTTATATATTATCTCAGTTCATCCTCAGAATATACCTATAGATTAGAAAATTATGACTGTATTCCAACAATGTTGTACTCCAGATATCAGAGATCCATCAGTAAAAATACCTCTAAATTCTAGGAGCACTTTTTCAAATAAACAATTCTTCTTAGGGCATCTGAAAGAGTAGAAGCTTCCAGAGCATAATTGTTGGAAGGGATTTCACAGATGCAGAATGATGGAAGGCCAGCGGAGGGTAATTTGGCCCTGCAAGAGTGTGAGGAGAATTAGATCTCTTGGATGTGAGACACCTTCAGTGAAGGTGTGATTTAGAAGAATGTTCTGAGCAGCACCAGGAAAAGACTAAAAATATATCCTTATAGGCCTGGTCTGTGGTTAGAAAACATATCTACTTTTTGAAATTATAATCATAGGATCATCCATACTTGATCTCAATTTATAATCTCTGCAAAGACAGAGGAACTTTCAACAAAAATTTAGTTCACTCCAGAGGTCAATGAAATGTTTGAGGCATTTGGAAAAATAGACAAAAGCTACCTTGGTGGGCCACACCTTTAACACTGGCAGCACAGGATTTTAACACATGAAGTCCTGCTAAATTTGAGGGCCCAATCAAACTAACACGACACATGAGTAGCCTATCTACAAGAAACAAGAGTTAGCAGACAGAATAAATGATAAGAGTAGCTTCCCTTCTGCACTTGAGTATGTAATAAATGTATGAAGTGAGTATGTCTGAACTGGTTAAATATACAAAATTGATCAAAAAGAAACAATATTGCTATGAAATAGAAGAGCAGGTGAGTAATGCTCTTGAGAACATGGTTTTTTCTTTCTTCTGTATTCCTCCTGCTAAGTACCATTGGAAGCATGGATGTTTTCTATAAAGCAAATAAGACTCTAAAAAATCTTAACTAAGGAGTGATGAAGATTCAAGAAATGACCTGGTGGCAAGTTCCCTGGGTTTCCTTTTGTATTATAGATATATATATAAACACACCTATATACATATGCATATACATAGGCAAGCTGGATTCAGAAGAGGATGTGGAATGAGAGATATCATCCCTGATGTCAGATGGATCTTGGCTCAAAGCAAATAATACCAGAAAGATGGTTCACTTGTGTGTTATTGACAGTGCAAAAGCATTTGATTGTGTGGATCATAACAAATTGTGGCTAACCTCGAGAAGAATGGGAATTCCAGAACTCTTAATTATACTCATGCCAAACCTGTATATAGACCAGGAGGCTGTCGTGTGAACAAAATAAGGGTAAACTACATGGTTTAAAATCAAGAAGGGAGTGCGTCAGGGCTGTATCCTTTCACCATGCTTATTCAATTTGTATGCTAAGCAAATAATCTGAGAAGCTGGACTATATGAAGAAGAATGTGGCATTAGGATTGGAGGAAAATCATTAACAACCTGTAATACGCTGATGACAACTTTGCTTGCTGAAAGTGAGGATGACTTGACGTACTTACTGATGAAGAATGAAGAATGTAGTCTGCAATATGGATTACATCTCAATATAAAGAAAACCAAAATCCTCACAACTGGTCCTATAAGCAACATTATGATAAATGGAGAAAAGATGGAAATTGTCAAAGACTTCACATTGCTTGGTGCTACAATTGTCTCCAAAGGAAACAGCAGTCAGGACATCAGATGATGTATACACTGGGCATATTGGCTGCAAAGGACCTCTTTCAAGTGCTGAAGAGCAAAGATGTCTCTTTGAGGACTAAGGTGTGCCTGACACAAGCCATTGCATTTTCAATTGCCTCATTTGCATGTGAGAGCTGGATAATGAATAAGGAAGACCAAAGAAGAATTGGTGCTTTTGAGCTGTGGTGTAGGTGAAGAATGCTGAAAGTACAGTGGACTGCTAAAAGCACTAAAAGGTCTGTCTTGGAGGAAGTGCAGCTAGAGTGCTCCTTGGAAGTGAGGATGGCCAGACATCGTCTCACATACTTTGATCATGTTTTCAGAAGAGACCATTCCCTGGAGAAGAATGTCATTCTTGCTAAGGTGGAGGGTCAACAAAGGAGGAAAAGGCCCTCAACAAGATGGATTGACACTGTGGCAGCAGTAACAGGCCTAGTGTAGTAAGAATCATGGAGCTGGCTCAGGACCAGGTGGTGTTTCATTCTGCTGTGCATAGGGTCACTATGAGTTGGAGATGACTCGATGGCACCTAACAACAGCGACAACATATATATATACTGGACATGGAATGAAGACAGGAATTCAGAAACACCAAT